AAATCTGGGTCCTAGGTGCTACAGTAACGAACGTTACATTGCCAGATTCAGTTTTTAACGTAGATTACGAATTTCATAATTATAATGCTCTGCGGTGGCTTTCTGACTCCTCAGGGTCGTTTTTCGATTTTACACCCAAAAGCCCATAAGAAACCCATGTTAAAATGCAAAGACGTTGAGCGAGTAGTTCCTGGGGTCCGATCGGGACGAACGGGGCGGTTTTGGAATGCCCAGAGCATGGGTCATCTCGATCTTTATGAACTAACCGCCGGTCTGATAATTTTTTTGCCGTGGGCCACCCTAGCGGGTGGGCTTGCCTCACCGAGTAGGCAACCAGCCCACACGCGTGAATGAGGTACAGCACAACCAGGAAAGGCACGGAGTCTGTGGGACACCTTGCACATTTGGCGTGACAGAGTCTCGAGGGAAGTTGCATCACTCTACCACCAAACTAAAGCCCCGCACCGAGCGAGCTATGCGGGCTGGACCCCTTCTTCGACAGAAGGTGAGAGGGGTGTGGAGGTAGGCGTTGGGCTCGTCTAGCTCTCTCTTTGCGGGGCTCTACAACCCTTCGTTAGGCCCGTTTCGGCCAGTGCTTAGTTAGTTTGCAATAGGTTTCGATTTGCCCATTTAAAAAAGAATCAGAGGTTGTGGAACCGGGTATGGTTCACGTCGTGCATTACCAGTCATACTGTACCGCATGCAGGCCTGCGGTCGGGTTGCCTACCCGCACGGCGCTTATAAGGTCAGCGACGATTGTCAAGCCCGCCCGCACGTCCGCCTGCGGCAAAGTATAAACGGCTACTACAGGCGGCGACGGCGGAACCGCTGAACCGCCCACCTCGTATCGACGACACACAACCCTCCTCCGGGCGTCACTCTAACACGACCACACACTCTCTCCCTCACTCTATCTCTCCTTCTCTACTCACTCATTCTGCGGGGTCGGCTGGGACTGCACCACAAGACCGTGCCTCGGGCTCATACAGGCTGCTGCGCTTGCCTCGCCCCGCTGGTAGACCTGCAACACACGGAGAGCACACTGCAATCAAGCGACACACAGCAGCGCCGACACACTTGCGACCGATGGGTGAGCCACTCTTCTTCCCACCAGTGCAGAACCCCTCGCCCGGACCAGAGGCCGATGTCTATTGCTGCTGCAGCTGCTGCTGCTGCTGCTGGATCCTGCGGGGTCGTTCTATCAATCCGAAACATTCACCCATTGACCGAGCCGGAACGGCCGCCGCTGCCGCCCTAGTTCCTCTCCCCACCCACCGACACGCCGCCACCACCCCACCGCACCGCACACCACCGCGCCTCCCCCCAACCCTACCCCACGGCCGAGCGGAGCGGAGCTAGCGGAGCCGAGCCTGCCGCCGCGGCCGCCCACGCGCTGGGCTGAGTCACCCTCCTCCACCCTCCCCGCGCACGACACGCGCACCGTGCCGACTCACTCAAGGAGTTGATGTGGCAGGGTGGGTGGACATCGCACACCCCTTGGGGTTATAACGACTTATTGAGGCCGCCTGAGGTTGAGCCCGACGACTTTGAGCCCGGACATAAGTCCGGATTGCAAAAGTTGTGTCGCCCGCCCAGCGGCTGGGGCTCATGTCTTGGGACTTGAGCCGTGATTGCAAAAAAACAATGAGCCCGGACGCATTTTCAGCTCCTAAACGCGCACTTCTTGAACTGATATAGGCTGGGCTCCTCAACTTCAGGCTCAAGCGAGCTGAAGTCGTTATAACCCTCTCTGGGTGTAAGCACTATCGGCCCCGCGCAGGAGGTGAACGCGGTAAAAACAGTGTCTGATTTTTAATAGAGAAAAGGGGGTAAACGGTCGAGGAACTCCAATAGTTTCTGGGAAACTCCTCAAACCTATTCGAGGAAGTCTGTGGGACTTTCCCTCACAAAACCTGAGGTGTTTACCCCAAATCACTGGAGGATCCTTAAAGTTTTCCCTTCATCAGAAGTTGTTTTTACCGTGAAGTTTATCGGTGCAGTGCAATGTGGCGGACCACGATGTTGTCGGTTGTCGGGTCACACTTCGCATGGGTCTTGTCGTCCTGCCCCCCTAGAAGGTCTTATTCCTAATGAACGAGTCCACGCAGGGGATGAGCCGACCGAGGCCTGACTGCGTGTCCCAAGTTATGGGTCGCTCCAGTTAGCTATGAACAAGCAGTCGTGATAACCCTTTTTGAAGTTAAAGTTGAGGAAGCTCTCCTTCTGCGCGAGCCCCTCGATGACCCCGTCGCACACGTCAGCCAGCGCCTTCAACATACCGGCCGCGATCAACGCGGGGATTGACAGCAGGCCGAGCAGCAAATAACTCTACTGGCTAAAAATAATGTCGGAGTTTTTTCTCCTCGCGGCCTTTTTTTATTTTTCTCTCTTTTCTTTTTTCCACATCGCACAGCGGGTGCAGTGGGGCACGGCCCGGCGGGCACGGCAGTGCGGCCGCGACGCGCTGGCACGGCGCCACGTGTGTCGGGGGTCGAGGGCCGCGAAGAGCTGGCGTGATGATCGTCATCCCGGTGCAGGACGCGGAGAGGAACGGGATAGGAGAGCCACCACGTGGCCGTTGCCGTGTCATCACCCTCTCCCTCGGGCTGACCGGCAGCATGCAAGGGAATTGTGTACAGCCAGTTTTGCAAACTGCATAATCAAACGTAAATTCGCCTCCTTCAAAGTGTTAACAAGTATCCCATACATATCACACTTGTCGCCGCACCACACACTTTTCGATCTCATGAAAAGGGGAACTGCTGACATAGACGCGGACCACTAGCCCTCGGTGCACGCTGCTATCGGAACCAACCCCTTTGATCATAGTTCAGGGTGGCTGATTAACCCCGAGCACTTTCTACTTACGATGTACTACCGCATGCATGTGGATGAGTTATGTTTCTCGCATGTGTTTTCTTGTATTAAAAGTAAGCGAGAGAACCTTCTTTGTATGACAAACACCTCTCGCAATCACGGAATAAACGGAACGAAACCTTTTTGTCTACGACCTTCTTATTGCGGTCATTGCGAATACTGTTTTTGCATTGATTCCACGGACGGTATACATAGGCGCTGTTACAAGCGAGCTAATCAATATTGGGACGGTAGGCTCTGCTAACACGGCCTCGGCCGCGTGAGGGAGTGGGAGAGAAAGAGATAAGGACACCACGGGATGAGACATCACGGCGTCCATGCCATCTCCAACCCCTCCGCGGCCTCCGCCGCCCCATACCGCCACCCTGCCCGGCCTCACCCTCCCAGAGCGAAAGAGAGGGCCACCTGATCTTCGGAATATCGCACCAGCGAAATTGACTCTTATTCAACTCCACCTCCCGCTCCCCTCACTCAGCTCGGGTCGGACACACACAAGACGCCCACAGGCGGGGCTGGCGCGCTGGCAACCCCCTCCGCCTGGCGCCCCATCCAGTAGCGCTCTGGCCAAGGCTGCCTGGCTGCCTCGTCTGGCCGGCCCCGTCGATCGATAGCCTTCCGGTATGCTTTGGGAGAACGTGGTCCAAAAATTGGATCGGCCTGCCTAACCTCTCAGGGACGGGTGTTGCGGCTCGGTCGCCCTGCCGACCCGCGGCCCGCGCCCCCCGCGGGGCCCTCTGAGGCTGACGCGGGGCTGACGCGGACTGACGCGGGGCTGTCAGTCCTGACGCGAGGGTGCTACCCTCGGGGGCAAGCACGTGCTCCGCCTAGGTCCGGGTCGCTCCCCATCCAAGATGGCGACGCGCTGACGGGGCGCCCTCCTGCCCAGGCGGGCCGTGTCCGCCCTGGCTTGTTTGGACACGAGGGCTTTCGCGAGAGCGGGAAAGGCGAAAGGCGGAGCTAATTCGGGAAGCGTGACCAGGCCACGGCTGTCCGAGCCGGCGCACCAGGCCTGCGGCTGCGGTCCTGGACCCACCCGGCAACCCCGACGTGTCCGCCGCTAGCTACTGCTAGCTACCCAAAAGCACACACGCGCCGGACACGCGCGCGCCCGCGGCCCCGCGCACGCCGCTGTGACCCCGCACCACGGGGCACCCGGGGGCGAGGGAGTGGGGTGGGCGGGGGCGGGCCTCGGCAGACAGCGTGACACCTATGGGGGGCGGGACTGCACTGCTCGCGAGGCGGAAGGGGCGGGGGTGCCGAGGGCTAACGCTGACGGCTACGTGTTCAAGGCCACCGTCCTGGGAGACTCCGCACTTGCACTGCGTCTTCGTCATCGTCGTCAACTTACTTGAGTTTTGCGTGGCGCTCGGCGCGGTGTCCGGGTGCTTCGGCTGGGCTGGGCCACTCGTTGGGCCAGGCCTTGATGCTCACGGCCTCCTCCACGCTGCTCGGCCCACACTGCCACTGGCCCGACGGCTCCACTCGGCTCCGCTCGGCTCTGCCCCCTCGGCGCCCCCTGGCGCCCCCTGGCGCGCGGCGCCGCGAACCTGCTATCGACGCCTGGCCTGGCGCGGCGCGCGGCTCGCGGCTCGGCGCGGCGCGGCGCGGCGCGGCGCGGCACGCGGTTCGCGACGGGCTGGGACTGGGTGGCGTGGCCGGGGATGGGGCTGCAGGGTAGCGCCGCTCCGCTGCCGCCGCGCTACGCCGCGCTGGGGTGGGCGCCGCCCTCCTGGGCCGCGCCAGCCTCGCCAGCCTCGGCCGCGCCCTGCCAACCCCAGCGATCGATGCCCGGCGGCCCAGTGCCGCGGGGCGCGCTGGCCGCCGCGCTCCTCCTCGCGGATCCTCCCCTCCCCCTCCTCTCTCCCCGCGGCTGCATCGCGCATGCTCCGCGACCGGCGCGGCGCGCCAAGCCGAGCGCCGATCCGTGGCAGAGCCGACGGCGCTCGGGCCCGACCAGGATCGAGGGGGCCGACGAGGGAAAAGCCGCCCCGTGTGTGTCCCGCTGGGGGGAAGGACC